AGATTCCTACAACTAGTTGTGGGAATTTTTGGCAAAAATCTGTTCCCACAACTAGTTGTGGGAAATCGCGTTAAATATCGCGGGGACGAAATAAAATGAAAAGGGGGAATTCCCACTGCCTCATTGCGGAAGGTTCTTCCATAAAATGTGTTCATCGCCACGCGGATTGAGGTTTCGTGAGACTACCTATGACACGTGAACGTACACGTGCACGGAATTTTAGAGCACGCTTGAAAAACGTCGTTTGCGAGCTCTACATATGCTTGCAATTTTACGTTGTGGATTTTGCTACTTATAGACTAAGCATGCAGACTTTGGTAACATTTCTACATCCAATCAAAAGAGACAGTGAATATTCAACATCACTGCAGCTTCTGAATTCAACGGAGCTGCGTGGTGAGATCAACACAATTGGTATCATTTCCATCTATTGAGAGATGTCGACCTCTATCAACCCAAGTCTGAAGGACGGTTATGTGAAGCCAATGTCGTCGAAAACTGACATTCTTTCGCTGTTCGAAACATCAAGTGTTGAAGACGATGAGCTCTCTCCACCGCCCTCCAGCATTAGTACTAGCCCTTCGGAAACTGTGACGACTACCAATCTATCTTATTCCTTTGACACATCGGAAGCCGAGAAAAGGAACTCTCCGTCGAGTATCTTTCGTGAAAACAAAGGGCCAAGCCCACTGGATCTACTAGACAATCCAGCTACCTCTTTCAATAATGCAGAAGGCTTCGCACCAACGACCGTCAAGCGACGCAGCTCTAGCTCGAACGATGAGACCAAGAAGCAACTCACGAGTGATGCTGGCAGTTATAAATCCTCTGCAAGTTCGAAATCAACAAACCAAGGGTCGAAGAAGAAGGTAAAGAAGCGAATACCTGATCCACCAGATATTTCGAAATTCTTCAATGAAGAATCCACAAAGAAACCGCCATCGACTCTGCAACAACGAAAGAGTCGATCGCAAAAGTGGCAACCTACGCCTACAAAGAAGGTGAAGAAGACGTTCCCTGATTCAGTAGACTTGCCGGCTGGATATCATTCAACCCTTGGTGGCAACGGCCAGTCCTATGATATTGAAGCTGTCAGGGCCCTTGTGGAGCATGCACAAGCAAGTATTGACCCATCGGTGACTCTTTCATTGGAACGAACACTGTATGCGTCCCTCCAACATTCCTGGTTGCTGGCCGTCGGCGGTGTGGGTCTCATGTCGGTTGGAGAAAATTTGAGAATCCCCACCGACTTGGGCATAGCACTAGTTGGAATATCCATCTTATCGGTTCTTGGCGCATTGATAATGCATTATGTGCGACTCTTCCAAATCAAATCGGGGACAACCTTCAAATTCTGGCAAACTGCACTATTTACTTCTCTCTTCACACTTTGCATTCTGGTGACACTGGCACTCGAACTATACTACGGAATCTTGTATCCATATCTGCGCCGGACCTGGTCAGTTCAAGTTGAAAATATGCAATCCGATATTAATACAGATGAATAATGTTTGTTAAAAAATGATTTTGAATACAATTATATAGAGTCATGACAAATGAAGGTGACCGTGCTATTGAATATGAGATCGACCATGCTGTGGTGCACGTGTACGATCGCTAGAGTCCGTAAGTAGTAAGGACAAATCGGCCTCCAGGGAAGCACGTCGATCTGACGATGGTAACACT